GGGAGAGTGTGAAATGTAGATGAAGAACCTTGGAAATGTTCTAGCACCTTCTCCCAGTTATTCTGCTTCTAGGCCTGCATCCTAAGGAGATCATGAGAAATGCTGTGAAGATTCACCTCTAAGCACATCAGTCACATCATTATTTCTGATTGCACAATTTGGGAGATGATCTGTATTTTTTTAATTTCAATTTTAATGTATTTGCATTTAAATGCTATGTTATCAGGATGAATGTGTCTGTACTGTGCAAGTCCAAATAGTAACTGAAGTACACAGAGAGTGTCTGCTTTTGGCAATGCAGTAAATCAGATGTCCCAAAACATCTTTCTATTAAGTCATTCAAAACTAAGAAGTATCAAGAAAAGAAAACCTAAATGCACAATTGAACTGGGAAGTGAGGCAGAGAAATTGTAGAGATTGACAAGGAAACAGGAATAACAATACAGAGAGGTTGAGATGAAGCCCAGGGCAGCCCAGGGATGGGAGCAGCTGACAGACTGGCTGGGGAAGCCGCTGGGGAAATCCAACATAAAACCACAACAAGACACCAGAATGGCAAAGAAGTTTAGATTCTGAGCCTATGGAGTGTTGGCAAAGCTGTGCAGAGCCATGGGGATCCTCACACATGCTGGTGGGAGTACAAATTGGTATCACTGCTCAGGAAAATGGTCTGGTGTCATTGTGCAAAGTTGAAAGCATGCCAACTCTATGGCCCAATGAGGCCCTTCACGGGTGTGGCCCAGGGAACCCTTCCACATGTGCTCCACGAGGCAAGCACCAGGACACGTGTGCTGCAGATATGCCAGAGGTGCCGCACACATCCTGGTCGGGTGTGTGCGGACACGGACAGCCAGGGTGTCTATTTAGGAAAGATTCATGATGTGGGAAGAGAAGAGCAAAGTCACAGAAAAACACATGAAAGGAGTTTATATGAAATCTAAAAACGTGCAGCACTAATACTAGATTTTTTAAGGGTTAAATTTAACTCTAGGAAAATCATACAGAAAACTAAAGGAGAGATAAATCCAAACCCTCTCGGGGGACTGGCGGGCTCTCTGTCATAGATTGGGGAGCAGGGACAAGGGCTGTTCACTGCCTCTACATCATACATGTGCTAGAATGAAGAGAGTCCTTTGTAAGTAGGATATATTTTATTTTATTTTTTTAATTTTTATTTATTTATGATAGTCACAGAGAGAGAGAGAGAGACAGAGAGAGAGAGAGACAGAGAGAGAGAGAGAGAGAGGCAGAGACACAGGCAGAGGGAGAAGCAGGCTCCATGCACCGGGAGCCCAACGTGGGATTCGATCCTGGGTCTCCAGGATCGCGCCCTGGGCCAAAGGCAGGTGCCAAACCGCTGCGCCACCCAGGGATCCCCAGTAGGATATATTTTATAATTAAAACGTTAGGAAAATGATTAGAAGAAAAAACATATTAATGTTATTTTGGGGTGATGGAATTGTGGGTCATCCTGTTACTTGTTTGAATTTTCTATTTTTTAGAAGTTTACAGTGAATGTGTTATTTTTATTTTATGATAGTCCTTTTTTATCACAAATCTTTCAAACATACAGAAAATACTAGGAATAATATAGATCAAATACCAAATATTCATTGCACCAAGTGAAGAAATCTTGAGATTTTGGATTTTTTTTTCATATAAGAGAGAAGATGAGACAAAGTTGAAGCCGTCCTGTGGCCCCACTGGATCCTCTTCCTCAGAGGTAACCTCCCTTCTCAATTCGGGTTGAGTTCCTGTCCACAAGTTCACACTTTCACTATATGCGCGGACCCAGAAGTGACAGATAATAATGCTTATAGAGTTGTTAAGTGTACAGGAGCAGTCTCACACTGTGTATATTCCTCTGGAACTTGTTTTCCCCCCAATTGGATGTTTGTGAAGCTTACTCATGTTGATGTATGTAGATCTTGTTCCTGACTTTATCCGCTATTATGTTTTCTGCTGTGTGAAGAGCCCACGATACACCTTTTTGTAGCCTGATTGGACATGCAGATATCCAGCTCCTTGTTTGCCCTGTTATCCAAAGTGATGCTGCCAGGACCATCCTGGTGCGCTTCTCCTTGGGTACAGGTGAGAGAACTCCAGGTTTGAGACCTGACGGGAAGGGCCTCTGGCATGCAGAGTGCAGGCCTGCTCACCTCGCCCAGCCATCACCAGATCCTTCTGCGGGATGGTTGTGCTGGTTCAAACTCCTAATGGGAGCATATGAGTGTGTGTGTTTGCCCACTAGCCCATCTCTCCTGGGTATTACCAGACTTTCTATGGCTGTAGGTGTAAATGATGCAAAATTCTATTCCACTGTGGTCTGAATTCTCTGTTTGTGGTGCTTTTTGCAATTAGAGGCACAAACATTAGAGATGCCCTTAAAAGTAAGTGATGAGATTTTACCTTTGGACAGTGAGACCCATGGGATGATGCTGGCACCACCAGGCAGGGATGGGTGTGGAGGGAGCTTGTGGGTAGAGATGCCACTGAATGTGACTTTAAAGGCACAGAAGGGACAAAGGACTAGGCAAGCACAGTGGGCTGGCACTGGCTGAGGCCAGAACCTCCCCATGTTTGCAAGGAGGACCCGGGATGAGTAGTTCAAAGCCATGGCTACAAAATCAGCACATATCTGTCTATGGTAAGAGAGAAACACATGTGAAATGCTCACTTGCCTCCCATCCATCTCCTGTGGGGACCTCCTGTCAGAATGATTCCTATCAGCCCAAGATGGCTACAGTGAGCACAGAGGTGGGCACAGAATGAGCACCAGCCACAGTACTGGGGCAGAAGGCAGAGGACAGAGGCTGAGAAGGGAGCAGTGGGAGCAGGAGCTACCAGGCCTGGGGTGGGGATGGGCGCTCCCTTCTCAGCAGGCCAGGGAGACCTTACTTCTTGGAGACTCCAGGTACTGGGACAGGTTGGAATTCACATTTTGTGCTCCAGAAATGTTTCCTGTGTCACAGCAAGCTGGTGATGCTTCCTGGATCATCAGATATTTAGCCCTGCTCTGTCCAGAAGAGGCAGCAGCTGGAGTATGGTGCTGAGGGACCCCAGGAAACCTCTGGCCTAGCCACGTGCTACGCAGACCATCTCCCACCCCAGGCCTGGAGCACAAGGTGCAGGGCCCAACAGGTGTCTGTGATCCCGTCTCAACCAGACAGGATCACACTTCCGCAGCGGCTTCTTTCGGTGGCTCATTGTGATTTTAAAGTAGCAAGAACCTGCAGTTCTGAAGCTCACCCAATTCAGAAATACCATACTCATGCAAAATACCCCACCTAGCAACCCCAGAAATCACACAGGAAAAGTCAGATGAAGAAGGGCCACAGTCTTTGCGAGTAGACAACTTAGGGACACCGCTGGCCCTGTCTTCCCATCTTCATGAAACAAGAACTCAAAAAATGTTTGCCTATTTAGTTATTATCTAAAAAGCAAACCTGAGTATGTCACAGTGCTGCTCAAAGTCCTTGGGTGACTCCCTACTGGCCTCAGGACAGATCTTTTTAAAAAAATATATTTTGGGGGCAGCCCGGGTGGCTTAGCAGTTTAGACCACCTTCGGCCCAGGGCAGGATCCTGGAGTCCTGGGATCGAGTCCCATGTCGGGCTTCCTGCATGGAGCCCGCTTCTCCCTCTGCCTGTGTTCTCTGCCTCTCTCTCTCTCTCTCTCTCTCTCTCTCTGTGTGTGTGTGTGTGTGTATGTGTCTCTCATGAATAAATAAAGAAAAAAATATATTTTATATATATATTTTAATGAAATGAAACCCTTTTTCAAACCGAATCTTAGGAGCCTAACGTCAGAAGCACAGGTGTAAGTGGTGAATTTTACTGCCTACCTATAAGCTCAGGTTTATAACCTTACTGTAAACCACCCAGCACACAAGCTAACACATTTGGGGGTCTGCTGCAGGTTTGGATTAGGGAAATATCCTATGGGAGGGCTGGCCTGGGTCTGGAGAGTATACCGTGCCTGGTGCCCTGGCCTTTTGATGCCTGATTCACACATCTGGGCCTCTGGGCACTGCCTGTGTGGTGTAGCTGGCCATCCCCAGTAGTCCCCAGCCTGGCCAGGCCCACATCTCCAGGCTTGGATCTGCCTATACTCAGACAGGCACAAGGCATTCCATCTGGCTGAGTGGATGTCCCTCTTCCCTTTCCTTCCTCCAGGACTTGGGAGGCTACCTCCCTGCAAAATCCAGCTCCTGCCTTTGGTCCAAACTGGGGACCTGCTTGTGGGGCATCTCACAAGCCTCCATCATGTCACCTATCATGTTGCACCTGTGCCTTTCCCGGATGGCACCTGAGTGACTTGCATCCTGAGGACAGGCCCATCTTATTCACTCCTTACTGCCCGCCATGTACACGGTGTGAGGTGGCCCTGAATTTGTCATGGTGAAAGGCTAAATATAAAAGGGAACTGATGATGTTTTTTAAAATAAAACTTGCTACCTTTGGGGAACTATGAAACATGAAGGCTTTTCATCAGTGCTATCAGAGGGGCCCCCCAAGTGAAATGTTAAAAGTAAACAATTTCCCGGGGACCCAGGGCACACAATGCACTCTGGAAACTTCTTAAAAAGATTAGGTGAAGGCTCTGCAGCAGAGGATGCTTCCTGGTTCTGGGGAGCTAAGTCCAGGTCTCTGGCTCCCGTGAAAAATGAGCCTGCTGTTTCCTGGATACACATAGAAACAGCCTGGTTATTTCGGAGCTGAAGGAAGGACCAATTACAGATGGTTTTGTTGTGAACCATGAACAAATGGAAGAAATTCTGAGGTAACGAAATGTCAATTTCAGTCTGCAAAGAAACTTCAGCACAAAGCTCACAAAATAGTAGAGGGTCCTCACTTCTTAGCATAGAAAATGCTGGGCTGTGGCAGGCAGGTTTTTTTTTTTTTCCCAACCTCTTTGACATGTCATAAAAACAGATGAAATCAATCTAATTGCTATTTCCCTATGAGCTATGATCTCTTTAATCACGACCGCTTCCTTACCCAGAATGATGCCATTGGGCTCCTCCGGCGGCTGCCACACGATCCGCACGGACGTGAGTCTCACTTCTGGGAACACAAGCCTCACTGGTGGGCCTGGGGCTAGAGAAAGTAGAGCAAACCCGTGATCCAGGTGCCACCACTGTATCACTTGGGGACACGACAAGGTTACATAGGACTCTGTGGGCTGGCCCAGCATTCACTACTATGGGTGGCTCTGTTCGCGGATGAGGTACTCCAAGGCTGCAAATGACTTCTGGAATCTAGCTGGCTGTGTGGCCCCCTTAGTGATTTTGAGAAAATACCTCATTTTGAATCCATCTCATCTGCTGTCCAAGTTCCAGAAGGAGTGCTCACAAACTGCTGGGAATCCTGTGAGTACAAGGTGTGTGAAGCCCAAGGCCAAGATCTTGCCAATCTGGGCTGAATTCTTTTTGGGGCTTGACACCTGCTAACAGGTGTTAGATAAATCAGAGCTTCTTGTTGGAACTTAACTGACTGGTTCCCAGATAAGAGGCAATGAGTAGGGAACATGGAATACAGAGATGAAATGATGTGTGTCACAGTCATGTAGAGGCTGTTGAATTCTGCCTCTGGCTATTAAGTTGAGAACAGTATTTCAAAATTTAAGCCTTGTGTTTAAATAAATCTGTGACCCTTGCATTTGGTAAGAGGCTTGCATGCCAGGACAGATTTGCACAAATATGTGAATGTTGACATCAGCCTCAAGTGGCATCCTTTCCCTGTGCTGTCCCGAGGCTGATCATCTGCATTACCCTAAGAAAAGATGCCTATAATTGCACCATGGGAGAAGAAGGAAAATCTGTGACTTCCAGCCTCTACTTTAGGACGAAACACTTGTGAATGACCAAGGTTTAAGGCCCCTTATACTTTCAGTTTGTGTAACCTGGGCTGCCATGGCTTTGCATAGTTTTGCAAACAACCTTGAGGTCACTGCCCCTTCAGACCTCAGCCCCCCACCCCCACTCCGAGGCCCTGCATCCAGGAAAGGACTAACAGGAAGTGTGCAGAGCTCTTTCCTCTCCTCGAATGAAGCCCGGCACTAGGGTCGTCTCCCAGTAGAACACGGAGAACGGTTCCTGGAGAACGTTCCCTGGAGAACAGTTCCCGCTCAGCAGCCAGAGCCCCGTGGAGGCTGATTTAATGACTTCACTGGACACGTGTAAGGAAATCGATAGTTTTTCCACTTCTGCGAGAAGCTTCTGATCCCTAAGGTGGGTTTGGGGGGGGGGCAGGGAGAGCAGTTATTTCCCCCAGAATACACCTCCCTTCCAAGATATTTGCTACAGTCAGTGTAACAATAAAAATGTAAAAGAGATAACCTTTAAGTGTTTGACATCTGCAAAGTGGAAAAACATATTTGCGGATGATTTAGACTTCCATAAAAACAGAGCCATCAAGATGTACTTGTTATTCTGGCCTGGAAACAGGGGTGCGGGGCACTCCGGGGGCCCATGGAACACACTGTACTCCATGCGGGAACTCCTATGGACCTTTTGGCCTGCAAACGATGGGACCGGGTGGCACAATGAGAATCGAGGCACCCAGGCGGGGAGGGGGGTTCTTAGCCAGATTTGTGCAGACACCACCAACAGGAGCGGCCGTAGGTTTTATGGCCCCAGCCAACCGGGCCTTTATAGCACTGCCTCTTGCAGAGTTATGGCTGAAAATCTCATAGGTTCATAATTAGGCTGTAAAAATTCACTCCAGGCTGAAATTGGCCATATAAACACTCAGTGGCTGAAAAACAATTCTGTTTTGTTTTCCTCCACTGAAATAAAGTGGGGGAGTGGTTTGTAAATTAAATTAAAAATGCCAACCATCCAGATTTTTTGGGTTATCCAAGTACACCGTCACCGTACCGTCATCCTTGGTCCGCTCCAGGATGAGGGGAGAGCTGGGGACTCCGTTCCCGATGCGGGTGAATGCCAGTACCTGGAGCTCATACAGCACAAACTTCCGAAGACCTGCCAGCAGTGCCGACTGTGAGTGGTTCCCTCGCACAACATGACTGCGGGGCTCGGGGTCCAGATCTTTGGCCCGGAACAGAACCTGGAGCATCAGGACACAAGGCCACGGTCATGACTCTGCAGCATGCCAGGAGCGGCCTCGGTGGTCATGGGGGCTTTCAACCACAAGGCTAGCACCAGCCAACTGCGGTTTCTCCCCCAGAACAGCTGTGTTTAAGGCTTAGGGATCTTGTTTCCATACGCTGGTATTTTGTGGGGAAGACAGACCCCAGAAGAGAAACCCAGCCCCCAGCTAGGGGAGCGGCCCCTGAGCCATAATTTACAAGATCTGAGCACATAGCAGTAGCCACACCAACTGCAGACACCAAAGCCAGGACTCAGTTATGAACAAAGACATTTTGCTTCCTACAGAAGGAGCTAGCGCCCCACTCAGGGTTCGCAGCTTATTGGGAGGTTGGGCTTCTGCTTCAGGAGAACTGCTTTAATCCACCTGAACAAAAACACAAGTGGGTGAGTGCAGGTCAGACTGGACCTTGGGTGGCTCAGTGGTTGAGTGTCTGTTTTTGGCTCAGGTTGTGATGAGTCCCACATTGGGCTCCCTGCAGGAAGCCTGCTTCTCTCTCTGCCTATGTCTCTGTCTCTGTCTCTCTCTCTGTGGCTTTCATGGATAAATAAATAAGACCTTTAAAAAAAATAGACTGGAGACGTGCAAGGGCTCCCAGAGAGGCAGGGAGACGTGCAGGGAGGTGAGAACACCGACCCAGCACGTTCTAGCCTCAGAACGCAGCTTACAAACTAAAATCCCCTTTCCTTCTCAGACAAACCTCGGAGCTAGCTACCATGATCACTCCCATTTTACAGGCCAAGAGGCCGAGGCCAATTTAAGTCACTGGCTCCTATCGGTGCCTTGCTTGGGAGGTTAGACCCAGGCCTCAGCCCCAGATGGTAATGAAGTTTAGAGAAGTCACAAGATGTGCAAATCACAACTTGGGCTGGTGCGGGAGGTCTGTAAGACCATGCAAGTGCGCTGGTTCAAGGGAGTGACATGTGGTAGCACCTGTGCAGCCATGCACACATACCTTGTAGCCCAGTATGAGCCCGTTCTGGTCCTGTTCGGGCACTGAAGCCCACGTCAGTAAAATCTGGGTGGAGCTGACAGCCTCTGCAGACACGTTTTCAGGGGCCGCTGAAGGAACTGCAAAGGATGAACAAAAAAGATTGGTAGCCAAAGTCCAAAGGTTTCTAGAAATAAAGGTCCACTGTTCACTCAAACAATCAAGTTATCTTTGAAAGAGCAATGAATTCTGAGCGTTTTGGAGTGATCAGATTAAGCCTGTGGAGGTATAACAGAAATGTAAATCTTTTTCATATTAGCGACAAATTCCACAAATCCTGAGTATTTAGGAGCTCAATTTTACCTGAATCCACCCAGCAAGGAAATGTGCTTGGTCTGTTTTTATATTAACTTTTGGGAGCTACAGACTTTTATCTCAGATGGGAAATTCTCACTCCCAGACACCAGTTGAGTGACATCTGTAAATGCAGTATTCTGACAGGGGGCTGGGGGTGTAGGAGAGAGGAGGTGTCATCATGAAGGGGAGGAGAGGGAAGGTTTCCTTGGTCCCAAGCGTGCATCCTGTGCTAGAGGTCTTCAGATCCACACTCGCATCTAATAGCCACAATAGCCCAGCGAGGCAAGGTGATTAGCCCCATTCTGCAGATGGAGATACCAAGGCTGGAGGACGCTCCATACATCCCATTCCAGTGAGTGCTTTTTTTTACAACGAGGTGGGCCCGTGGAGGCGAGCTGTGGACCTCTTGACCCATGTACACGTAAGATGATGTTTTTATCTCTTCTGTGTATGGATGTCACTGAACCTACATTAATTTGTCATATGCATTTGCAATGGTCCAGATAGAATGTGTGTAAAGAGTTAAGCTTTAAAAGGCTTTATAGTCGAAATAATCTCAATTTGCTTTGATAATTTGCTTTGATAATTTGCTTGTGAGCCCATTTAAACTTTATGCAGATGGAAAAGATCGATCCAGAGTCCCCTGGTAAAGACAGGTGATGCCCCGAGCAAAAGGCAGCTGCTGGCTGTGGTGCCACCTATCATCCTGCAGGGCCTCCGTGGTCAAAAAGGAGGAGAAACACTTCAGGTTCACTGCGTTTCATGGCGAGTAATATGGGATAGGATTTGGTATTTTACTCAACCATCAGGACAAGCCCGTGGGAGGGATCACTCTGCAAAGGGGGAAAAGGGGGCTCTGAGAAGGCACGTGGCCTGCCCACATCACTAATAAGTGGCAGAAGCCAGGAGGTCATGAGGTGTTCACAGGGAAGCGACAAGCTCATGGGCTTTGCAGCAAACTCAGACTCCACAAGACTCCTGAGCCGTGTGACCTGGGGAAGCTGCTCAATTCCTCTGTGCCTTGATTGTGCCATCTGAGAAACAGTCAAGCAGAGCCCACACGTCCTGGAGCCCATTTCTCCCTCCCCCATCCTGGTACCCATCACTAGGCTCTGTAATGAGCAGGTGATCAGCGGCTCTGTTCGAAGACAGTGAGACAACAACACTATGATCTCCTTGCTCTACGGAAGGAGGGGGAGCAAAAGGCTACCGAGCACCCTGCACCCTCAGTGTCCACTCCGCAGGCCCACCAGGGCTCCACAGACTAGGGGGAGGTAGTGCACGAGCACACTTCAGAAGCAGGAACACTTCGCTCATGGGGGCTCTCTCCACCCTCCATCCACAGACCCACTCATTTCATTCATTCATTTATTCACACGAGTGCTCCCTCCTTGAGCAAAGTGACTGGTCGTAGCTAGGTCAGTCATTTACTCTGAACACATAAAATGACAGGGTTTGCACAATAATGCTGCCCTCCAACATTTGATTCCGGATTTTCTTCACTGATATGATTTGGTCTTCGTTATGGGTTGGGTTGAATTGTGTCCGCTGCTTCCTAGCCTTCATAAACTGAAGTCCCAACTACTAGTAGGTCAGAATGTGACCTTATTTGGAACTAGGGTCACTGCAGATGTCATTAGTTAAGATGAGGCCATACTGGAGTAGGCAAAGGAGCATGACCCTGCCAACACCTTGGTGTCCAACTTTTGGCCTTCAGATGGTGAGAGAATAAATCTTTGTTTTAAGCTGCCCCGGTCTGGCCTGCTTTGTTATGGCTGCCGCAGGAGACCAATACTGTCTTTAGGAAAAAAGTGTCAGGACTCACCTGTTACCTTTTCTGGAAGCACGGCCAGGTCACCACCACAGTCAGTGGTTGCCGCAGATAGGGATCTGCTGAGGGGACATGAGCCCGAGGTGAGGCAGGGCACTTTCTGGTCCCCAGAGAGGGGAGTCATAGAGGCAAAGGCCTGGGATGCTAACCCTAAGACAGGGTGACCTCCGGCCTCCACACCCCAGCAGTGGTCCTGTCCTCTGCTACTTACCACATGACCATCTTCAGGACTCGGGCATTAGACTGGCTTCCAGTGGAGGCAACCAGCATGTCCCCAGAACAGAAAAGTCACCTGTTTGTGTCTGTTTGCATTAGGGTTCAGGGGTCTTCCTCATACTTTCAGAGAGAGAGAGAATGCTGGTCAGCCCCCACCTGGTAGATACACTTTTTCTCCCCAAATATGTCAGTCAAGAATCATTCATTTGGTTTGCCATTCAATAAAACACTATTAATTTATCTGAGAAGCTAAGTGTCATAAAAAAGAATATTTTTATAATTTTAAGTTTACTCAGCCCTCTAAGGGAAGTGTGCTTGCCACCCACGCCTCTATGTGTCCCTAGTGTCTTCTGGTGGTGGCTTCCACAGGGCTCATTCATGCTCTTCCTGCCCGGCTAGGGGCTCCCACCATGGCAGTCACGAGGACATCGCTCACACATACGCTTATTTTATCTTAAAAAAATGAGCAATACACTGCTACCTCAAATCAACTGTGAATTAAAGGAGTCACGACTGCATGAAGGAAAGGTAAACCTACAATTTGTCTGAATTTACCTTTGCCTTAGAGTTATTGGGTAGGAGATGATGCAAGATTGTCTGAGGAGAAGAGGACTAGAAGAAAGAATCTGGAGTGAGTTTATGCATAGAGTGATCTCCTTAGCATTCTCCTGACCACTGTAAAGGGAGCTTTGTGGCAGCAGCAAAGATTTTTTTCAAAAATACAGTCTCATCTCAGCATTTTGCCATTGGTTTACTTTGTTTTATAGGAGTATTCTTTGGAAACTTAACAAAACAGTATTATTTTCTATTTTTATTATTTTGTTCATCCTTATGTGTCATTTAAAGTTTACAGTTTTCTGAACAAAATCCTTGAAAAGTGATTTAGCCAAGTGTAAAACTTGAGGTTAGCAGTTATTTCCTCTTAGCTTCTTCAAGATTATTCTTATTCCATTACGATTCCATTGCTCCATTGTCTTCTAGCCTCCATTGATCTTGAGAAGTCCACTTCAAATTGTCTTGCCTTCTGGATATAAGATGTCTTCACACCAAGTGTTTTTAAGATTTTCTCTTTGGTTCCCATGCTTTACAGTTGCAACATAATGCATTTTGGTGTAGATTTATTTTATTTATTCTGCTCAGGATTCACTTTTCTTCAGTCATCAATTCTGAAACTTCTCAGCTATTATCTCCCATATTTTCTTATTCTCCTTTCCTCCTTCCTTCTTCTCTGAGTCTTATTAGGTATAAGGAGGACCTTCTTATTCTATTCTTTATGTCTTTTAGCTTCTCTACCATGTTTTCAGTCTCTGTGTCTTTGTGCTGTATTTTAAGTTACTTACTCATATCTAGCTTCCAGTTTGGTAATTCTCTCTTTAGCAGTTTCTAAATTGCTTTTCACCTAATCATAGTGTTTTATTTTCAGTGGCTGTGTCCTATATGTTTTTCTTAAAAAGCATTTTAAAATTAGCATCTTAATCTTTACCTAAAGTTTTAATGTTTTCTTTTCATAATTTAAGACTACAGTCTTATTTTACATTTATTCCAGCTCTATTGTGATATAATTGATACACAGGATTTTGTAAGATTAATGTTACAGTGTGTTGATTTGAGACACTTATGTATTGCAAAGAGACTACCACCGTAACATTAGCTAATGCCTCTAACAATCACAAAATTATTGTTCCTTTCTGAGAACATGTAAGATCTACTCTCTTAGCAACTTTCAAGTACATAATACAGTAGTATTAACTATGATCACTATGCTATTATGATCACTATAATATTACTTAGAACTTACTCATGCTACAACTTAAAGTCTTTAATAATTTTAAATATACTCATTACATATTCTCTTTCATACTAGTATGTATTTTAAAGTAATCAGGGCCCTATTTCCTTCCCTCTCATGATTCTTAGTCATGGCAAAGTATCTCCTTGTGTGTTTGAAAATTGTGTCCTCATCTTTCAAAAGTTGATCTTTATTTGGAACAATGTGGCTGTGGTGATCTCTCTCCAGAGATGTTTCCTTCTTTGGTTACACAGAACATCTGGCCTTAAACCGTGTTTCTTTCTATTTCTTTTATCTTTTTTTTGTCATTAAAAATTTTTTTTGTTTTGTTTTTGGAGGACAGTGAAATGATTTATTGGGGTATAATATATAATATTTCAGGAGGAGTGGGTCACTGTTTCCCCTGGGGTAATATTTTCTGGTCAGTGAGGATGCTCCTCAAGGCCCTCCAATGATATATGAAGTACACAATCTCTGAACCATACTTATTTTAATAACAATTAACACTGTTATTGTCCAGCTTTTTCAATTTTATGTTAACCACCTTGGGGATTGAACTAATATCACATTGTGGTTTGATTTTCATTTTCCTGGCAGTGAATAATGTTGATTAAGGATCCTTTCATGTGCTTAACTGACCATTTGTATGTCTTCTTTGGAGCCATGTCTGTTCAGATCCTTTGTCCAGTTTTCATTTTTTTAATTAAGATTTTATTTATTTATTCATGAGAGACACACAGAGAGAGGCAGAGGCATAGGCAGAGGGAGAAGCAGGCTCCCTGTAGGGAGCCTGATGTGGGTCTTGATCCCAAGACCCTGGGATTGTCCTGAGCTGAAGGCAGGTGCTCAACTACTGAGCCACCCAGTTGCCCCCCTTTGTCCAGTTTTTAATTGGGTTATATTTTCACTGTAGAGTTGTAAGAGTTTTTTTTTATATACATCTTTGATACCAGTCCCTTATCAGATGAATGATTTGCACGTATCTTCTATGACTGGAGGACTGTTTTTTTTTTTTGTTTTTGTTTTTTTACTTTATGGTATGCATTGAAGCACAAAGGTTTTCATGTTAGTAAGTCTAAATTTTTCTTTTGTTGTTTGTGCTTTTTGGTGTCTGAAATCATGTTTTACATTAATTTCTTTTCTAGGAGTTCCTGAACCAGACAGAGTAAATTCAGAACCCAAACCTGATTTGGGCACAGGACTTAGAGTTACCTTTTTTTTTTTTTTCCTATTTAGAGTTCAGGTGGCTAGGTGGACACAGATAAACTATCCTGGCAGAGATTTTCAATCTCCCCTTTCAAAGGGGGCACAGCATTCAGGAGCTTTGTCTACATGCAAAGGCTCTGATTCTAACTCCCCTCCTTGTGTAGACTTGTGGCAGATCCTCCAGTTCCTGGGTGGGCACCATGTCCCAAGTCCTGAAACTCCTGGGATGGATGCACCCGTGCCCACCCCCCAAGGCAGCGACAGCACCAGCTCAGTACCTACCGCTTGAGTCCCTTTGTGCCTCTGACATCTGCGGACTTTCTCTGTTTTTCTAATGAGGACATCAATAAATTCTAAATCTCAAAAAATTATATTCTGTCTATAATTTTCTAGTTAGTCACAGCAAAGATTTTTTTAAAAAGTATTTTCTCAGTCTGTCTGCCTATCACTGGGGTTAGAACAGTCCTCTCAGAATGTTTCAAGTCCTCTTCTTTGTCACAAAGACTCAGAGACTGAATAGAGCTTTTTAGAAATCCAAGTGATCACATAGCCACAAGCTGAGCGTGGTGCCTCAATCTTTTGTTCCTAATGTAATAAAATCTACAGCCTGAAAGAAAGCCAGGAAGGCATCTGAGGCAGCCCCAGCTGCTCCAGCAAACCCCTCTTTAAATATCAGTCCTCTTGGAAGAGGCGTGTATGGTACATTTCCTTCTTTTCAGGAGAGAACCCTGCCATTTCAGACCAGGTGGAAAGAGCTGGTCTGTGTCACGGTGTGTCTTAAACGTGACACCAGCCCTCTCTGTCACTCCACAAACTCAAACCAGGCTAACGAGGGTCCTCCAAACCACAGGTCAGCACGCAAAGGCCGGCAGGTCAGCAGAGACTCCTGAGTCTCCTTTCCTCCCTGGCAACCAGCAGCAACCCTGAGCCTGGGGCTCTGTGCACAGGGGAGGGTGCCATTGCTGGACAGGTTTTAGGGGTCAGGCGTGCCTGCTCTTTGCTCTTTCTTCTTCCTTGGGTAGCTGGGCACAGATGAGGATTAGGCCTGTGGCATAGCACAGCCTGGGTCCTTGTATCACAAAGAAGAGAGCCACCACTGAACAGGAACACCTGTCTTCCTCGGTGATGAGTGAGAAATGAACCTCTATTGTGTTAAAGCAACTGAACCTTTGAGGGGCTATTTGTTAGTGCAGGTGAGACTATCTTAACACATCCCACACGCTACTTTGTCAAGAGGAGGTCCTGAGGGCCTTGTGTTATTAAGACATCCTTAGAATCTCTATATACTTGGGGCGTCTGGGTGGCTCAGTTGGTGAAATATCTGCCTTTGGCTCAGGTTGTGATCTCAGGGTCCTGGAATTGAGTCCCACGTCGGGCTCCCTGCTCAGCAGAGGAGTCTACTTCTCCCTCTCCTCTGCCTCTCCCCTCTGCTCACAAACACTCTCTCAAATAAAGTTTTAAAAAAAAAAAGAAAATAAACTCTTGCTTATTATCACTGATAGTGAAAATTACACCTAATTTAAAAGATAATACCAAGAGTCCAGCTCCCCCCACACACCCCGTAACATCCATGATTAATTTCAAATTAGTGGTGTGGACTCCAATGACGTTTTATTGAAACTACCATCGAGATCGATCTAATTACTGGGTTAGGAAAGTGTCAGCATAGACTGGGGGTGGGGGCAGAGCCAATGAGATGCAATGTGAGGACCGGGGGACACGGAGCTCCGTCTCTGGGGAGACACAGGTTGGGGCTGAGCCTCTGGGGCGGGAAGAACCTCCAGCTCACCTGACTCCCGCGTGCGGCCCCGCACTGCCGCGCTCCAGGGCCCGGCCCCGATGGCGTTGAATGCCTGCATCTGGAGCTCGTACTCCGTCCACTCCTCCAGCCCCTCGATGGTGAACTCCCTCTCCAGCCGGTCGTTGATGACTTGTGTGAGTGACGGAGCCTGGAGGTCGGGGCGCCAGTACTTAATCCTGTAGCCCACTGACTCGGGGTTCCCGTTGTACTGGGAATCGGGCAGGGGCTGGAAGCAAACAATAGCCGTGGTGAGTGGGCGTCTCCGAACCGCCACCTGTCGAGGTCCTCCAGTGCGACCCTGTCTTAGGAGGCCAATCCCGCAGAAAATATTTCCGGGGGCAGGGGGGATATTCATAGAACTTTTACTACATTTCTCCCTGGAACTTTTCTTCTGTTAATTAAATGAAATCCTGTCAGTAACTTGGGCTGGACGTAATTTCTTTTAATACATTTTGGCTTAATTTTGTGGGGGAAATGTTCTGAATAAATATCAGGCTGGCTCTCCTACAAACATTGAGTATTGCCTCCATGTTGACCTAGCTTAAGGACTTATAGGTCCAACCTGGGGCACTGCTGGCTTCCCTCCCCCAAAGAATATTCCTCAGTACCAAGAAGCCTGTGAGTAATGCTCCTAATTAACAAGATCTCCTGGGCTGGTCTGTGACCCAACAGCAACTGTAAAATGCAATACTTTTGGGTTTAACGAAGAGATAAGCTTTGCCTCGGACAAAGCCATGACTAACAAGACACTAAACTCTGGCTTTACATGCACACCATGAACACTCAAGGCGACCATCCCTGCAGCCCACTCCCAGCCCCCAACTCACCACCCAGCGGAGCCGTAGGCTGGTCTCGCTGGCTGTTCTCACAGTGACACTGGTGGGAGCCACGTCAGGGGGCGCCTGCAGTGTCTGGATGACCCGGGATGATTGGCTGACGGGGCTGGAACCGACAATGTTCACCTGCCTCATTCGAAATCTAGAGGGAGAACCATGGGCATGGTTATTCTGCAGGAAAAGACAATGTGGAGAGATGGATGGAACAAAAACCCATAACCTTCTCAGAAGGTGAGGCTGTGTGTCCATCTGTGTCATGAAGGCTGTTGCTCAAGGATACCTTCTTTCCACTTGGTTTCATTAAAAATGCAAATTGCATATTTGGCCCTTTGGCCTCAAAGCCTCCCAAGAACAATAAATTTGTTCCAGTGCAAAGATTTTAAATTCCCAAGTGAAGCATAATGGGATGGGTTACATGGCCAGAAATCTGTGTCATCAGATGCCATCAGCTGATTCATGTTTAGGGTAGGGTCAGGGGATTAGCTGTCGAGGGGCCAAATGACAGCCTTGATAGTCTAGTGGTGTTTCAATGAGCACAGGTGCCTGCACCTAGGGGATGAGCCCTGGCCCCAGAGTCCACACCCTGGGACTTGGACCCCATTGGTAGCTGAGACCTGAGGCCAATCATCTCCTTCCCTATAAAATGAGGTGGGGTGGATGTGCTTTAGAGCCTTGATGAATGTTCTCAGCTCTCTCTTCTTTATATGTACAATTTCTTGGAGTGAACTTCTACACAAATGTGCCCTGAGCACACACGCCTGTTTACCACAGAGGCTGGAAGAAGACAGGGACAGGGGTCTCTAGTCACAGTTTCTGATCTTCAAAGCAATAATATAGCTGGTACCAGCTTCATGTGGTAAGCCTGAAGCCCCTGTAGCTAGTTTTTTTGAGAAATATTTTCCTCTAAAAATGAGTATATGGTGCCCTGATTATCTGCTCTGGTCTCAGGGAGGATGTCACAATGAACAGGAGCTGAACAGCATCTCTTATTAAGCATTGTTTTAAAAAGCTCTAATGTCAGTATTATACCAAAAATAATGTTCTTCACGAAGATGTCATGTCACCTTTTACTCTCTGAATTACTCATTCTTAGTCTTTTACTCCCTGATCTTAAGGAACGTATCTGTTCTGGCAGAACAATGACATTATCAAACTCAACATCTGGTGATAACTGGAAATTTCATCTCAGTCAACGATCTTACGGAAGTTATAACGTCTCTAACAGCTTGCGATTGTGCGACCCTTTGTTAAGGCCAAGGATTTACTGCCTGGATAGGTTTCAGGATCAAGGAGTTAAAGGTTGCATGGCAGGTTAAGTGCTTGATTAGTGAGCCCCGCCACTCCTGGGTCCTGGAAGGGGGAAGCGGAAGACGTTCCCAGGACAGCCGCCCTGTTTACACACAGCATGTTAATATTCCAAAGGGGTTGTAGAATTTATAAGGAAAACCCCACATCTCGGCTGCCTGGGGCTCTTAGTTTTGAGCCATTGCAGCTAGCGTTGATGGAAGGAGCACTGCTAACCTAGCATCGGGGATATACTCTCTCCAGGAATGATACTCAGCTGTGTATCTTGCTCCTAAGGTTCAATGTACTGTTATTACCACTCGGAAATGTCTCAGTTTCATGCACATAACTGGGTTTTGTTCTTGCGGGCTGAAGCCATCTGTTGGATTTGCTAGCCTTCTTCCTGCGGCAGTTTATCACTGGCTTCTCTCACCTGTAATGAGTATAGGGCGTGAGGTTTGGGATCTCCAGCGTCTGGGCATCAGGCTCGTTCTCCTCCTCGTAGAGGCTGACCCACTCCTCCTCATCACCGATGGCTCCAACCTATGGGAAAGAAGATCCTTGGATGGGATGGATGAGCTGCAGAGCAGAGGCTGCCATTTACCAGATGTGCAGCTGCCTGGCGTGCATCAGGCTATGCAGACCCACCCTGTGTCCTCCATAAGTGGATCTTGCACACACACCCTCAGTCTAAGCCCTGGAGCTATGGCTCCTGCTATTCCCTCAAAGGTCAGGACCTCACATACCATCCTGTCCTTCCTCCTGGTTGACAGGTGAAGGCCCAAAGAGAGGGCCAGAGAGAAGACTTGGTCAGGGGGACTGACCGGGGGACTCCAGTCTCTCCCTGTTCTGACCCTGCCCATTCCTGTCCCAAACACACACCAAAGATCCAGTGCAGGCCTTGCACAGAGAAGGACTGTCTGCTGCCATGGGAGCTAGACCAGCAGGCCAAATCAAGAGAGCCATGAGGGGAGATATTGTGACATCATGTCAGCCAGGAAAGCCCTAATTCTACCACACAGGTTTCTGCATTCCTACGCCAGGCACACTGGGCCTCGTGCAGCCTGTGTAGCTCTGGAGACCCCAGCAGATGCATATGGAGGGAAGGCTGGAAGCACCAAAGGGGTTTCAGGCCAAACAAACTGGGGTGAGGTGGTTCTGCCTAGGGCCCTTTGCTTTTAACACATCGTAAATGTGTCAGATGACAGCACAGAAATGTGCTCGTGAAGCTTGCAGAGGACCAGTCGGCAAGGGCCAGGTGGCTAGAGGACGGCATAAGAATTTGAGATCTTGGAAACCTGGAGGAAGGTCCAGGAGGGCATAGAGGAGGCAGAGTGCACACAGCTGGGCAGCCTACCTCCTCCAGAAGGCTACATGCAAAGTCAAAGCTCTAAATACTCAGCGTTGAAAACATGGAAACAGTCTGGCAGTTCTCAATAAGTTAAACATAGAATGATCCTATGGGCCAGCAATCCTACTCCCAGGCAGACACTGAAAAACCTGGAAGCTGGTCCCCTAGCAAGTATAGGAGCGCATATGTTCACGGCGGCTCTATTCTCAGCAGCCAAACGGGAGGCCACAAGGAGCCCAGTTGGTGGATGCACAGATAAACACCCGTGTAGCGTCCATGCGGGGAAGTACTAGCCAGCTGTAAAAAGGAACCTACAGTGTAGGTGTCCTTGAAAACATGAAGTCAAATAAAAGAAGACCCGAGAGAACAAATTTATATGATTCTACTTCATACCATTTACAGAATAGGTAAATCCGCAGAATCAGATGCAGGTGGGTGGGTGCCAGGGGCTGAAGGAGGAGAGAATGGGCAGTGACTGCTGAATGGCATACTGTTTCGGGGCGCTGAATATACTTGGGAACCGGGTAAAGGTAGTGGTTGCACCGTGAGTGCACTCACTTGTGAACCATGCACTTGAGAACAGTTAACTTTCTGTTACATGAATTTCACTTCACTTAAAAAAAAATAGTGTTAAAATAAAATGTGGGACAACTGGCCAGAAACGCATGGGGAGAAAGATCCGGAGATCAGAGCCGATGAGTAGCTGGGGAGTCAGCGAGGCAGCTGAATGGGGCAGTGAGATCAGGAGATGGAGCAGTTTACACAGCCGGGGGCCGGGTGCACAGCCCCCAGGACCACTGCATCAGCTCCAGTTCCTCCAGTCCTCAGCACTGCAACCCCCAGCAGAGCCCCCAGACCCTCACTTCAGAGACACAGAAATGAAAGAAGGAGAAAATGGATGTAGATCGAGGATTGATCTGAGTGGCACAGAACACCTGTCTTGGAGAATGGGAGTTAGACGAACAATAGAAACAGTGCCAAGTGCCCCCAGGGCTCACGGCTGCCACCTGCCTCCTCCACTGTCCCTGCGGAGCAGGAGAGGGCCAGGACGAGAAGATCGCCAGCACTGACCGCGGCCTGGGTGCACGTGCAGTGCTGCTGGTGTGACGTTGGGGGGGCACTAATGTCCACTCAGGAGCCCGGCCTGGGGCTCAGCGTCCAGCCGAGAGGAGACACAGTAGGTGTCTGTGGGATGAAGGGCGGAGGGCTGAGAGAGGAACCATGGGGCTGGAGGAGGTTAGGTCCTGTCACGCCACAGCTGCATACCAGACAGCTCCGCACGGCTCCCAGACACCCTCCGTGCCTCCAGGTGAGGGCCCCGGGCACAGCAGCGGGGTGGGGAGGCAGGGAGGTGGGGAGGCAGGAGGGCTGGGACCAGATTCTCTGCTCAGTTAGCATTATTCTAGGCGTTAACGAGATTTATGAATGCCTTAACGTCGAAATGTCAACAACCCAGCTGAACTGTATTGAGTGTGAGCACCCCCAAATGGGGTCTCACAGCGTGTAGTGGTTTCTGAGGCCCAGGGAGAGGGATCCGTGAGAGACTGAATCAGAACATCTATACTATTTCTTGGGAGACGTTTAAGAAAAAAGAAGGAAAGGAGGAAAAAGAGAAAAGGAAAAAGAGATGACTTCAGTTTCAGGGCAATCAGTTCAAGACCTTTTATTCACAGCTCCATCCCAGGTTGAGATGCTGTGGAGGGTGCTGGCAAGCAGGGCGGCCGGTGCTCACGGCTCCGGCTCTGAGTGCCCAGGCAGGCGCAGGCACCTGCTCACTACCGTCCAGCCCTGTGGTGCCCTTGCTGCTGGCGTGCATTCGCATCCTTCCATGTCTGTGCGTGTGTGGGAAAAACCTGCACGCTAAGTGCCACTTATCGTCCAAATCCTCAGGCCCAACTGTGGAGGCCGCTGTGCTTCTGCAAAGCCACTCCTTCCTTTTTCGCCTCTCCCCGGGCCCCCAGCGCCACCCCTCCAACGGTAGATGCTCTGTTTGAGCTCCTGGTGCAGATGAATACTCCAGGCTAAGAAATAGTGGGGCCTGGTGCCGGCAGGCTCTGGGCCTTGAACCCCGACATGTTTGGATTCCATCTATCTGGTTGCCTTGCTGGCCTACAAGCATTCATCTGCCAGCCTGGGGGGCTGCCCTTACCCCATGGACACCCACTGGCCTGCCTGGGCACCAAGAGCTCAGGGTGTGGCCTTGGTTGACGAGGCTCAGCAGGAGGCCTCAGCAGGGTCAGCAGTAGTCAGCCGCCCTGGGTTCCACAGCCTGTTTTACCCACATGCCTGAGAAGATTGGGGGAGAACTGGCACGGCCTCCTGCTGATGCCTTTGGAGGGACAGACACCCACTAGCCATCCACGGGCAATGTAAAGGCAGGACAGGTTGAAGTCGCAGGACACCACAGGCTACTGCGGTTCTCTCAGAACACTGGTCTGCAGCTCCATTGGCAGAGGGTCAGGGAGATGCTCCACTGCCAGGATGTGCGTGGGGCCAGCAGGATGATGACGTCTACTTAGCTTCTCCAGGGAGAACCCCTGCCCCCCCCCCCCGAGGGTCTCTGAGGAGGGAAGGCTCTCCTTCTGGAGCTCCACGGCCCTGCTGCTACTCTCATGTCCACGAGCTCCAATGTGCTTTCTGAGAAGGTCGCTGCCGGCAGAGTGCAGACAGGGCTTCTATTTTGCCGAGGGTAGCCGCCAGCTGTAGGGTGAGGATGAATGGCTGGGGACACCCAAGGTTACACTTCCTTGTCTTCCCATGGGGTGCTCTGTCTCCTTTTTAAAAGACCTGGATTTGAATGTGTGCCAAATCAGTGGCAAGCCCAGGTGGGCGCCGCATGGCTCCATTTGGCTCTTTCTGCCACCCTCCCTGCAAAGCCAGCCTGTCATTACCTGGAGGCATCACTTAGTCTCAAACACTTGTACCTTACACACCTGTACCTTACAAATGCTCTTCCCTCTCTCTGAAGTGTGCCCTCCCCCTCCCTCTCCCGTCCTTGCTGCTGATGAGCTCCTCTGGAATCTGGAGTGCATCTGGGCCTTTGGGAGGCTTCCGTGAACAACAACCCCTGCCCCCGTGTCTTCCCAGGCTGCTAATTCTGTGCTGGTAAGGCATCTTCTGCATACCTGACATACAACAGAGTGCTCCTCCTACCTGTTGCATCCCCTTAAAAACATGACATTCAGAGGAATACACAGTATGTGTCAAAGATTCCTTTTGCTCACTGATGTGGAAAACAGAAAGGTGCTAACACTGGTTCAGAGAATACCAGACTTGAAGTATTGAGTATATGGAGTCCACCAAGAAGGATACTGCAACAAGGTGGCCAAGTTAGAAGTAAAACCAGTTATAAGAGCGCGACGATCCTAACTTCTGGGTGTGTAACTTTCAATCTTCTACAAGGGTCACATCTAACTTCACAGAAGGTGGGACAAATCATAAATAGTAAGACAAACACAATTATAGTTTTCAAGACAGATGAGCGGTAGGCAGGCTTCTGAAACCAAGCCCTAGTACAGGAGTCAGCACACTACGGCCCGAGGGCTAAATCCTGCCCACCTTGTTTTGTAAATAAAGTTTTCTGGGAACATGGCCACACTCCTTGGTTTGTGTTTTGCCAGTGGCTATTTCCATGCCCCCTCGGTAGAACCACGTGCTTGCAGCAGAGACCATCTGCCCAGAGGCCTGAATTATTAACTCTCTTGCCCTTTACAGTAAAAGTTTGCCAACCCCTGCTCCAGTGTTTTCACCAAAAGGACATGCAGTCCTCCCTCTGCCTCCGTTCTGAGGTGTCTTGCCGTGTTTATTCTCCCTTTTGTCAGTGTGAGAGCTGCCAGGCAGATTCAGGGTCTTACTCCTCACCGAACCCCCAGCATCTCCCCCAAGGTCCAGCCCCACTGTTGGCTTGGTGCACAAATGAATATATGGTGGCCACATGCATGATTTCAAGATCGGTATTGAAAATGGGTTTTCTTGCGCGGAGCTCCAAAAGCAAATGATTACTGAAAATGTGATTTTACTTACGGACCTCTGAAGGTGGGGAGGGGTGCTTAAATTTCTATAATAAAAGGTTTACATTTTGATCTAAGGAAACCAGAATTCTTTTTAGTGGGAAACAGAAGTCTTTTAACACTTGCTGGGCTCCTCTGGCTCTCTAGTTAGATTTCAAAACCATCACGACAAAGTGTTCTAG